GACAGCCAAATAATGGTTACAGAAATAAGACTGCAAATTTTAATGAACTGTTTAAACTGTTTTCTTTTCTTACAGAGTCTGCCTCCACTGCCAGAGAGCTTGAATGACCTGTAAGTGTACACAAAAAGTTAGAAATTGAAATCCATTTCTCTAATTATTTTCAGTTTACTAGCTCCACTCACTCCACAAAATATTGACATTAAATGACAACAAAAAACTCATTCCTTTCAGAGAAAAATCACGTTGGAAGCCAGACGTTAGGTCCTTCTGCTAGAAGACTTATTCACTGCAAGTGAATTCTTACAATAGTAAGGCTTCAGTGAAGGTAAGCGAGAGGATGGGTGTGGACCAGCTAGGCAAATATTGGCTGAACTCTGCCTACCCTGGCTAATGTCAGACCAACTCCAGTAGCTGAGGCTAACTGCTTTTAAACATTCTTTCAAGAACCTATCAATTTGCCTATCAGACAAGTTTACTCTGAACCACTGAGGGAAGCAGGAAAGCGTAAGGAATTCTGTCACTGGAAGAAAGTCTTGACTCGCAGGAATTTTGATAGGGAAATCTAAGACACATTTCAGCTTAGTATATGTTGAGTAACAACTAATTCAGAAACTTGCTTCCTGATACCACCTTTTGGCTTACCCTCTTACAGGAGTTCAGTTGACTTTGGGAGAAAACGTAGCAAGAAAGCCATAATCTCAATCACAAAACAGTTCCCCCTCCCAGACACCCTCCCCAACAAAAGGCTGAACAGCAGACTGGCCTAGGTGGCCAAATTCAGCAGCAAGGAAAACCACAGCTCATTTCCTTAGCCAATATGGTGCCAAAAGGAAAGTTCTGTGGGTTTAGTAAGCAAGAGATAATTTACCAACCATATAAAAGCTGGAAAAATGTAATAAAATATTAGCTTTCCCATCTTAGCCAACTAAACCCTTAAAACCATTCCCATTTATTTAATTTGAAGTATTGTTTGTGGTTTGTAACCCTTTGAAACAGTCCAAAGCTTGTAAAGATTAAGAAGTGGAAAAGAATCCCTAAGTCAGGTTATAAAAGTTTTTCAAGTTCCAATAAATTCAGTTACCTTCTGGTCCTCCGTCCTGAAGCAATTCTTAACATAGTTGGCAAATTTGGGTTCCAGCTTAGGAAGGGAAGAACCCTGTTTTGAAAAAGGCAAGCTTTAGTGTATGCGGGTCATTTAATGATTCCAACAGATAACTTACAAAGCTTAAACCCTTCGCAATTTAGCGAACCCACCTTTAAGACCCCAAACCAATCTGCTTTTAAACCATTTTAAAAAGTCTGCTTCTCTGCAGTACCCAGGTATTTCTCACAGCAGTGCCTACACACTAAAAGGGCTGCACAAGCACCGTTACTTATGCTCAGAAACCTCACAGCTAGCATTCAGCACCTAAAATAACCTCGTTTGTAGTCAACACCCACATGCTATTCAGAAAAACAAGAGCCAATACCATATTTACGGATTCTTTCTCCAGCACGCCATTTGAGACATTACTCTCCTTCACAGGTAGGTTACTGACTTCAGCTCTCTAAAGCAAAAAGTTAACTGATCTCCCACCTACCCTTTAAGATTCATTGCAATATATTACCTTCTATGAATTTTAAGAGCTGTTCTAGAGATTTGCTTGTATCTCTGAAACTGACTTTGTACATACTCAAATGTATGATCAGTAATAATTCATTCAGGTTTATCTTCGTGTCCTTTCCTATCTCCAGGCAAAATACTACAGCACACTATTTTAAGAGACATTGATTTACTTTCACATGCCCCATGAGTTAACATTTTCCCCATTTCTCAGGCTCATCACTCACAATGTACCTAGGTGGTTATGACAGCACACTTAGCTGCTCCTCACCACGTTGCAGAAGACAGCAACTTTATATTCAAAGAAACAGAGCTACATCAGGAATACCTGAAACTGCAATACTGCAGCCAAAACACTTGGATTTGGGTAATGTCTTACCTCTGGATTCTGTCAAGTACGGCTGCTCTTCTATTGGCTTGCTTACATCTACTTACTACATAACAGAGCAGTTCCACTCTAATTTAATAGTGATTTTTCTCAAAGCCGCTAACTTGCTGGCTGTCAGCTAGAAGTGCTGTTGTGTATGGCAACACACAAACCTTTTTTTTGCCTTACTAAGGTACGCTGCTCTAGCACCATCTTGGAAAACATTAAATTAAGCTGCCTGCTATTGCTTCTACGTATTTGTGCTTACACAGCATTTCCCAGTGAAAACACTCTTCATCAACAGAAAGCACATTCTGAAGCTACTTGCCAGTTATCTGGTCTGCATGCTTCCCCCTCCATAGGGACATCTGTCTACTGTGAGCAGCTCAGCCACTTCTGCTTACACTGCAGAAACACCACTCATCACGGATTGCTCCTCTGAGTCATGCAAAAAAACCAGCCCTAGATCCAAGAGGTTAGTTTGACCTAGCAGAATGATACCATCCATCACTGTCAGGTTTGCAATTTAGGGATAGGCATTTCCATCCTGATCACAATCTGTCATTGCTCATTCTGCATCCACTCTACATTGAAACATTTGCTCTTATTTTGCATTCCTAGGACAAAATGGCTTCAAAATATTGAGAATCTAAGCAGAAGATAATCCTAATTCTTCACATGACTTGACTGCCACTGTAAGGGGGAAAAACTTTATCACCTCAGCCCAAACAGGAAAAAAACACCCCACCCAGAATTCTTCATAGCACAGACATCAGCCAAAACCAGGTCTCCCATAAAGAATCTCCTCCAGTCACCAATGAGTATATGATCTGTAAGCACAGCCCTGAGCTAGTGAAGTAAAACCAGACTCATAGTCAAGATGCCAGGTCCTTACTACCACCTCTCAACTGCACCCCTAGCCAGCACACACGTTTCCAAACCTGGCTAAGGGGGAACCAATGGCTAATACCTGCTACACTTTTACCCAACCAGCCTATAACTAAAATGCTACTTTCTTCTTTATCCTTAAATAGCAGCTAAGAAGAATACTCATAGGCATAACCAAAGTGCTAGTCAAAGCTGATAACCAGAAGCTGAGTGACTGCCCTGTGACCTTCAAAGATGAAACATCCACTGAGAGGAGGAGACTCCATTAACTCCCAGGTCTCCAGAGCTCAGAAAGCAAATGCTTTCGGGTCTTCATTGATTCACTACTGCATATCACAAGCACCTATCTCCCCCTTCTGGAAGTTATAAAGCCTTACAAGTATCTGGATATCCAAGCTGGACACTGCTTTAAGGTGAAGCTATTCCAAGCACACGAAGAACTCTGCTTTACTCCAGCTGGCTAAAATAAAACGTGTACGCTAGTGAAGACACCTTTAGAGTTAAGTCTCACCCAAGGTTTGTTGCTTTGGTTTTTGTTGTGGGTTCTTTTCAAATTTTAACTGAGACAGCTCACTAAGAAATACCAAACTACTAATCACCACTACTGGAGGAATTCAAAAACAAAGTGCTTTTGTTTCTCATGAGTACAGAGCCTTCTTTTTGTCCTAAATGAGTTTCTGTTTCTCTGAGCATCAACACACTCTGATAACAGCACAGCAATCAGTGACACGTAACCATTTCTTAAAAACATCCAATTCTTCTGATCTGTGGAAGTGAAAATAAGGCTGAGAAACCTGAAGTTTCTGAAAACTCACCTTATCTACAGACGCTTGCATTTTTGCTTTAATCTCCTCTAATGACAGAGGGACTTTCGGTGTTTTTGGAGTTAGAGATTTATCCTTCTTGGAATCTGGAGTCTGAAAATCATTCATTTCATTAGGAACTTGCACATACATGAAGCTACTTAGCATACAAGATCAAGTTTTCTAACAACAAGAATGTTAAAACCTACAGTAGAATTTATGAGGAATACAAGAACTAGCTATCATATAGATAATGTCAGATTTCAAGAAGTCACAGAAGTTAGATTTGTGCTAAACACATTCCTCAGAGACAAGAACACTGGAGTTACTACAGTTAGCAGAGCTAGCATCTTACGCTCCCGGGCAGGTATCTACACACCTTTCTCCCAACAGTAATTAAACCAAAAATAGCCCAAACATTCAGTGATTTAGTTGACTCCACAACCGCAGCCAGATGAGGTCGTGCTTTAAAAAGGCACCCATCTGCACTGCTTCTCGGATGCTATCCCGCCAGCCCTCCCACACGGATTTCTGTGTCAACCTCCCTGGCACACAGGCACAAGTAGACACAGCAAGGCAAAGCTGCCTAAGGAAGCCTGACAACTGCAAAGCAACAGAAGAAAACTGTTAGCTCTCACATGGATCACTGAAGTGAGAATCCCTCACGAGCAGCAGCCTCCTGTTGCCCTGCAGTGGCAACAGTTGGCATTCAGCCTCGTGTGCAAGCAGCCTCACAAAAAGACTTGCATTTTAAACGGTGGCATCACCAATACTCACAAGGGACAGCACGTCCGATTCCAAATCTTGGCTGGTGCAGCTATATACTGAGCACTGAAGAGTTTCACAGGGGCACGTGAAGCAATGAACAGTACCCCCGGCATGCTTCACATCAAGATTCAGACACCTCACTTCACAGTTAGTACATTACTTGAAGTTACCATTAGGCAAGGAAACCAGCTTCCGCACTAGAACAACATTTGTTTTACTGATTTGTTTTCACTCACTTTTGATTTAGATGCTGGTGTGGACGGCTTAGAGTCTTTTCCATTTTGCTTTGCTTTCTGCATATTTTTTCCTGAAGCCTCACGGACAGGCTGAAAATAAAGCACTTCAGTTCATTTGCCACAAAAAATATACTGATACATGTTAAGCTCTTAAGACTTAGTGAGAAATACACACTATTTAACCTCAAACAAAAAAAGCATTCTCATTGCCCACGCAACATGATCAGCGTCCATTATTTATGCAAAAGGCATGTATACTACGGGAACTTAAATGAAAACTGTCGGTACAGCATGATGCATAACATCACCAAGATCAAGCTTTTTTTATGATGCCATCCAACTACGTGGGACCTCCATTACATCTTCCTGATATTCCAAGGTCTGTCTCAGTGCTACCTGTTCTTTGCAACACAACCACTACCTCTGGTTTGGCATTTCATACAGAAACATCATCTGGGATGAGCCCAGGCAATGCCACATGTGTATTTAAGAACTGGAATCTTATATTCCTATATAAATCAAGGGACCAATTCATTCAGCCACTCTAGATTTGACTAGGTGGCAGGAAATTTGCTGTTAGGATTGTTTTTACCAGGCCTTATGTGAACTATCACCTACAGAAATTCATCAGGACAGAGCACCATATAGTGAACCAAACCATTAAATGGTTGTTACTGATCAGCAGATATGAACACAGAAATCCAAGCCAAAGCATGCCAAGTTCAAAAAAATTACTACCTCCTACCACTGCAGCTGCCAAGTTGTCTTAGTTTATTTTACCACCAGATGGCACTCGAGGGCTGACAAATTTCACATGCGAACCCCTGGCTGCCCGAGGTCAACCTTTTCCAGGGGGCTCACACATTTAGATGCGATTTTATTGAAAGTTAGGCTGCCAAAAAGACCTTTTTCACAGCGTGCAGGACTAACTGAAATGGCAAAGCACGACCCACATCTGAGCAGCACTTTGCTGACCAACAGCCATCCATGAGTTCATACCAGTCTGACAACAGCACATGTGCACATGCTGTTGAGAGCCCAGCCACACCTCTGCAGTTACTGCCATCCCTCTCATTGCTACCTAGTCCGTTTTAAAGCAGAACACTGCGCAAAGAGGACACCTCAATTAGTTTCTGCATTACAAGAAACACAGAGTTCAAACCTAAACAGCTGTCCCACTTATGCAAACGCAGCTTTCCCTCCCTTCTGCTTTAGGGGTCTTCATATGAATCCCCAAAGATGACTCAATCAGAACAGTTAAGTAACACCTACTAGTAAGTTAAGAGGTGTTAGCAGTTGCTCCCCCATCTGAATCAATTCTGCTGCAGATACTAAATCCATCTGGTGTTACCACTCGCTTCCTTTCAGGTTCATTAAACAGGCTTTAATCCTTCATGGGTGAAGAGGGACATAATGTGTATGTATATATACATATATGCCACTTACTTTCTTCATTGGTGTTTTTATTTCTTCCTCATCATCCTCTAAGTCATCCTCATCACTAGAATTAGAAAGTTAGTTACTCACTATAACTCAAGATTCATATTCACAGCTTTAACCACATCAGGAATTAGCCTTCCCCCTCCATCCAATGAAATGTTTTATTCATGAAGGAAGCAAGTAATCTTCCCAAGTCTACCTTATACCTTGTCTTAACACATGGCAAGGTGTTTGGCCAAACATTCTACTTACTACTGTTAAAGCAGTCAGAAGCATTCCCTTCTGCTGTAATACTGAAAGCACATATCTTAGGGCTTCCACTACTACTAATAAAGAAATTTGGTATTTATTAAAAGTTAATGAATTACATGAAACCAAGTTTTCTAACCCAGTATTGACATATTTGAATAACACTAATCTAATTACACTGGGTTTTTTGTAGCAAAGAAAAAAGTAGTTTGCTCATTTAACATCCAGTTACATCACACAATTCATATTCTCAAACAGTAAATCCTGTATTGCAAAATACATTATCAAAACAAGAATACATACTCATCTTCCTCCTCCTCATCTTCATCATCGTCCTCATCATCTTCTGACAATTTTGCTTTTTTCTTTAAAAACAGTAAGCATGTTAAGTGTCATTTCTGTCTTAATGAACAGCAACCTTGATCCAAAACAATTTGTGGCATAATTACAAGACTATCTTCCACCAATTTAGCCAAAAAACAATGTTACAGCTGCCAAGTCAAAAGCTACTGACAAATTTACACCATGCTCCGAGCTTACAAACCTCTCCTAGACTGCAGAGCTCCAGTCAGCATTTAAATTTACAGTACGCTGATGTTTACTTTAGAATTTGCACATACTCAGTTACTGCAGTGGACCAAACTTCCACATAAAAGTAGCCTTCACACTAGCAAAGCCTCCAGGCAAAGCCTTGGAAACTATCTGTGCTTAACTACACTTCGTAATTTAGTGCCTGTCAAGACCCAAGTACAAAATAATCCTTCCCCACTGGTACCAACAGACAATAGATCAAGTAAATCATAGCAAGCCACCTAACTGCTTACTCCTAGAGGCAGCGGTAACACCAAACGAAAAGAAAACTCTGCAGACAAGCTGACAGCAAGCATATATACCTGTGGTGTTTTAGCTCCTCCTCCACTCGCTGGTCTCTTTGTCGAAGTGTTCACAATTTTTGTATCATCTTCCTCATCGTCTGATTCTGGTTCTTCCTCTAATGCTGATAAAACAATGGCAATGTGTAAAACCCCTCTCATTTAACAATAATTAAGGCAAGTTTGCTAGTAAGAAACAAACAGAAGAGTACCACCCACAACTAAACAGGCAAGGTCTGAGGTGCTGAATTGATAGGCAGAACCTTCCTAATAAACAACTGAGATCAGAAACCTTTCCGGTTCACTGTATTCAGGCACTACTACACTGAAATCCAGAACATCTACACGCTGCCAACATTCCTCACAGGAAAGAAGGCATAGAAAGTTAAGGATAAAATTTTCTCCATTTCTAAGGAGAGACATTTAAGGGAACTTCTAGAGAGCAAGATCAGTTTCACAAGATAATTCTATAAAGGAAAAGGCTAGTCCTAGCCTAGTTTTTAGTGCCAACTCAAAACCACTCCATGGGCAGCCTTCTCACTTTCAAATAAGCACAAAGCTCACAGCTTACTGTGCTTTTTCTGACCACAAACACTGTGAACCCAACACCTGTTTTTAAGGAAAGAAATCAGAACTCAAATCACAAGGCTGACAAACACCCCTTATCCACACAGAACAAGAGGGGAAAAAAAAAAGGTATGCAAGCATCTCTCTGAACATCTTTGTTTTAGAGTTGCCTCGTGCCTGAGGACAGCAAGTTCCAGATTCAGAGGGTCAGTATTAGAGAAAGTACTGCTTGAGACACCAGACAGATCACTCAAGTTGTGCTGGTGCTGACAGGTAGCAGGATCACAGATTAGTAACCAGAGCAATACCTACCTACGAGATGTTGACCACTGACGTAAACAGGCCCTGAACCACATTTCAACCTCAAGACCACCGGTGGTGTGATCTCAAAGCCACCTAGTGAAACCTAAGGAAAAAAACCACACATTCTTATTTATTCAAGTATTAAAGGCAAAGTGTGCTTAACAGACCATCCAAATGAAACCAAGGTCACCAACACCTGTATACTCCAAGGCTAATACAGTTACACCATGTTTCCATCTGACAGAATATTCTGGAAGTGTTTAGTCAAATCAGGGCCAATAAGCCACAACAGGGTTTACTACACTCTTATTGCAATTAAAGCACACTTTTCAAAGCCAGACCAATCCACATTTGTTTCCACTCCTCTCAACAGCAATGCCATTTGAACATTGTCCATCACACCCGCCCCCAGCATTGTGCAGTTCCACTTGTACAACATCAGCAACAGACTCAAATTACATTCCAGATGGCAGCAATGACAAGCAGGGTGCCCTTAAAGGGTAGCAGTCATCTTTAGAACCTCTTGAAGAGCTTGGGATCTGCAGAAAAACTAGATTTTCCTCATCCCAGGCTCAAAGAAAGCAACAGGCTATAGATGCATCTGCTTGCAAATGCAAACATTTGTATCCATAGAAATGACACGCATAATCACCATGACTTCTTTTTAAAAAGGCATCGTTTGAACAAAAGCCTATCATCTCCAGATGACTAGCATAAGCCTACTAGGCACAAAAAAGTCATATTTAGCTTGTACTTGCAACGCAAGCCAAAACTGAGACTTATCTGAACAGTGACCACTGCGCAGTTTCAGTAAAATTCCTTTACAAACCTTTCCTAACTAGTCCTTCTCGCCCGAGACCAAATTTAGAGCAGATTTTTCCAAGTTCCTGTACTTACCGTAGGCTGCACTGACATTTTCAGCGATGCCAGTACTACTTTAATAGGGTTGCCTTCGTAGTCCAATGCTTCTGCTTCTACAACGTGTAACTCATCTTTGGCTGCAGCCCCTAAAGTAACCTGTGAAGAAAAGAACAGCGAACATTCTGAGACTTCTCAAATATTCCGAAGTCTTTTAAACTCCAGTCGCCATTTTGCACCTCTTCACACTGAAGGTCATATCTCTCACTGCTAACAATCCAGCTGCACTCCATCCCACGCAAATATCCTCTTTCCCCACAACACCGGCACTTGCAAGGTGCAGCTCAAGGCCTGTGTTTTGATGGAGAGAGAAAAGCAGAACCTTTCGCTGCTGGATTATTGCACTGAAATAGGTCAGGGACAAGTCCAGTCAGCATGGAAGCCAGCTCAGGGGAAGAAGTACAAACACATGCCTAGAGGAAGGGAACCAACAGCTACTGCCACCACAGAATCACAGCTTTTCTCCTTCCTCTTCCCGCCCTGTTTCATCTGCCCATTGCTGCACTTTATCACACTACACATTTTTTGCTTACTTGACATTCAATGAGGAATTAAATCTTAACAAATGCTCAGTTCAGTACTGTCATTTATGCATACGCCTTCTGCACTAATTCACCAAGGACAGAGCTGCTGTCCCTGAGCATTTCAAAACTCAAGTGCTGGATTCCTTACCCCGACTACAAGTCTGGCACTTTCTGAAGATTCAAAAATCCTAGCTGCAGGGAGGCAAATGAGTGACAGACATGGGACCAGCCTGAAATTCCAGTTCTCTGAACCTCTGGCATCTGAGTCAGGATTACATGCAAGTGATGTGAAAACCAAGAATCCCTTGAAGTACTACAATTATTCCCAAGGCTCTGTTTCCTTTCCCAATGCCCATGAAAAGAAAGCTTTCCACCCCCCACAAAAAATGTGGGTGTAAACACTTCAGACAGAGGCATACAGCTGAAGTTTCCATTTTCCAAGAGCTGAGTTTCAGGCAGGGCACAATAATCCAGACTAGGTGTATCAGACTGAATGCTGAGAAATAGAATATAGTATTCACTAACCCTGGCTAGCTTTGCTACTGTAAATTTAAAGAGGTGAAATTGCTGCTCTGATTTCACCTCTCAAATGGGTAAGCAACAACACTGCATCACTCAGGCAGTGCAACTACCCACCAGGACAAGAATTTAAGAGCGTGCCCTCCAGGCCCAGTTACTCCTGTAATTTGCACCACTTCAAGCAACACCACAGCACTTACTATTGATTTGTTCACTGAATGACTGGCAAGTATCCATTCATGTGCTTTAATTTCTTCACTGAAGGAATGCACACCAGCAATAAATAGGTAATGAAGCGGTGACCATCCCTCTATCTTCTCAGTAATCGTTAACAAGACAGGTTTCTACAGAAACCCTCATGCCACTGTACCTCTACAATCATCAGCGCTCCCCTTTCACTTTCATCCTTTTTTCTCTCCTCGCCTCTTTCTGCACCTTATAGCCACATTTGTATCTTTACTGACACGTGTCAATCTTTACACATCTAGCCTTTTACCAGGTGCACAGATCAGTCAAGTCACCAGGTATTTGCTACCTTCACACTTTATCTTCCATCAACTCCTCCCTCTGCTTGCCAAGGCATTTTCTGTTTGTAGCTATGTCTACGACCTTCCAAGCCTCTTAAACATCTCCAGTTTGTCACTTGTTATTTCAACCCACATTTCTCCTGTGTATCATCTTTTCTCTTTAAAAGACAGGTTACTGAACTACTTTTTTCCCCACAACCCTAAAAATGAAGTACTGCTATGCATCTAATTTGCTTTATCCCCCATGAAGGGCGCACAGCATCAGAAAAGATGCCACAGGTAATTTTCCAATAACAGGATCTTTGGATAAAGCTATACAACTCAAGTATCACTCTAATGTCATCTGCATGTCAAACATTCAGATATAAGAACTACCCACATGAACTTGTCCTATACATACTTTACTGCTATATTCTTCCCTCAAAAGAAATTCTAATTAAGAACAAATTAGTCATTGTCAAGTCCAAGCTGTAATTTTCCTAAAATGCAAGGACTGAAGACACATGATTCACAAAACTCTAATGCCTGAATTAAAGTGCTGAAAGTATCACTGTGAATAAGTTTAGAGAGCATTATTATGCAAGTCTCCTGCAGGAAGCAATTCTGCTGTAGGAATTAGTCCACAATTATAAGAATCTTTTGCTTCCAGGTATCATCAAGGCATCTCTTTGTATTTAAATAAACACAGTAAGAAACCATAAAGTAGAGCGATGCTACAGCTTTTCAATTCCTTGCCTGTGAAGTTGGGGTATCTTATCATTCTGCTAACCAAAAGTAACATGCTCAGTCCAGAACAAAGGCCTTGAAATGTTGTGTCTTGCTTGTGTCTAAGGACACATCTGAGAACTCTCAGGGATGCTGATTTCCAGGAGTATCCTGCTCAGTGAGGAGGCTGTTAGATGAATTGTCTGAATGAAACAGAGCATCTCCCAGTTACATCCTTACTAAAGCGCAACACCAAGGACAATAAAGCAAACATAACACAACTTAGATTTAGTAGTTACAGCTGCTTCAGGAAAAAAACACTGGAATTATGTCTGGGAAATGTTTTTCAAAATAAAGTTTGCAATAGTCTACTAAAATGTGTCCATATATGATTCTATCCTCCCCTCGTGCTCCTGTAGCATCTGAACTATTGCATTAGAGATGTCAGGAGGGTATATTCTGGCCTTTAATTCCATTTAGTACACATTTATTAACCTACTGTAAATTCATTTTTAAGCTTTTCCAGCCTTGCATTCTTGCTCTGAAAAACACAACTTCACCGGATATTTGAAGCTTTTTTTAATACAGCAAATGTTTCCAGTAAAAAGATTATTATTTAAGATTCAATGTAAAAACACCATCAAAAAAACCCAACTTTAAAGCAATTAACGTACATGTTAGAAAAATTCACTTCTTGCAACATCACACACCATTTAAAAATAAAAAACTTAAACCCTTCAACTTAAAAACCAAACGATACTTGCCGTTCTCAAAGACAACTGATGCTCGTTTTCTTCATCATCTACTTTGAACTGATATTCTTTATCTGCTTTAAGCTCACAGCCTGCGAAAAAAACATTTAATCATGAACATACTGCTTTATTTAGACGCAGATATTTGCTAACCACTGATTATTTTAAATCTTGCTGCTTCCAAGGCTCTGCACTCGCACAGAAAACCAACGGCACTCCAGGCACACAAGCAGAGAAACACGTAGGGTGGGGAAAATCCCCGGCGAGGCCGCGGCCTACTGCCGACCCGCACCTCCCAGCGTGGTCCTTCCAAGCCCATCCGCT